TTTTTCTGAGGAAGGGTCCAGACCCAAAACGTCAGCTTTCCTGCTCCTCTGCTGCTGCGTGGCCTGCTGTGTTCATTCAGCTCTATACCTTGTTATCTCAGATTCTCCAGCATCAAGCAGTTCCTACTATCCCCATAACTTGTAGACTTTTTTACTTCCTCTCACTATGGCGTCAAACGCATGAAAATTCGCCTGGTTCCGTTGAAAAGATAGCGGATACGAAATAAGAATCCTGTTTTAAAAGAAACACAGACAAACGTACAAAGATTGAATTTAAAAGGCAGGGGAATCTGTCGGGGAAATGGTGGGGGTGGGGGGAACAATCTCTAATTTCGTTGATAATTGCAATATTTCCCTGGAAAAATCATGATTCAACAAAAGAGGCTAGAAATGTTCTGTGATATTTCCCACAGCCTAATGCACCAATAATCCCTGCTCCATGTCAATAAAAGCTGCTCCGAGTGAGGTTGAATCTCACAGCCTCGGCATTTCACGCGCCTGTATACCGTCATAGAAGGACCGATTGCATCACTGGAGCCACAGAGTAGCTCCGCGCGCTCATTGCCGTCCCCATTTTCGGTTGTATCTTCGCGGCTGGGGCACTGAGTTTCTTTGATTCCAGGCCTGGGAACTGGGATTATATGGTCGACTTCAACAGTGGTTACTTCATTGTGTGAGGGAACTTCTGATGCAACCGATGTTCAACGAGGTTTCTATTGAAAAATACATTACAACAACAGCCTGCACTATCCCCTGTGGCTTTGCTGTTTTGTAGAAATCTATCAATCTCAGTCTTCAACATACTCAATGGTGGAACCTCCAAAGCCTCTGGAAGCATCGAAGTTAAACATTCCAGCCCACTGTGAATCTTCACATTACAGTGCACTGCTTGAAAAGTATTCCTGTTGTGTATCTGGTGCTGTTCCTATCATATGCTCTGCCACGGTAGTTATTGCTCTTTACAAGCTCTGTGTGGCGCCGTGATCGTATAGTAGTTAGTACTCTGCGTTGTGGCGGCAGCTACCTCGGCTCGAATTCGAGTCACTGCAAACGGTGGTTGTTTGCTGCATTTGTTTTTATCCTTTGTAATACATGCTACAGAAATGCGGCAGAGTATCAAACTTTTTTCCATGAAGATATTCTTCGAGGTGATGACAATCGTCTGTCAACCCCCGCTCTTTCACATATCTGCGTTTGATATGTCAGAATTCAAACCCGCCACATGGAGATTTCTCTCCCTCCCACAATCACTAACTCTCCTTTATGTCCCTCCTTCCACTTCACTGAGGCACTACGCAATCTAACATCCATTTTCACATTGACATCGTTGACTCTGACCTGTTGTGGTCAGTGTCGCTGTATGAACGTGCCCTGTCTCACCACCGGGAAGTTGAAACCAGTCGATTTAGATACTGTGGCTGTGATATCAAAACTCATGTAGCAGCTTTTACTGACTTGGACCAGTTATTATTGGAGCATCAGACTTAGGAAAACAACGCAGGGCAATATTGCACAAAACAGACTTCATCGGAAAAGAGCAGCTTCTGTGGCTTTTTGCACATCTATTTCATTTGGTCATTCGGCTATAGCTAGAGTACTGTGTGCAGTTCTGTAGTTCACATTGTTGCGGGCGTGTGATGGCACTAGAAACGGTGCAGAGCAGATTTACCAGAATATTGTCTGGTCTGAAATGTTTCAGTTATGAAGAAAGATGAAACAGACTGTGTTTGTTTTCCTAAGAGCAGAGGAGATGTACAAAATAATGAGTGATATTGATAGGGCAGACTCAAATAAGTGTTTCCCTTTGACGGCGGGATCGATCACCAAGGAGCATAGATTTACTGTAAGAGGCAGGAAGGTTTGAGTAAATGTGCGGAGAAAGGTTTTCAGCCAGCGGGTGGTTGTAATCTTGAACCCACTGCCTGTAATGTCCTACAGGCCGGTATCCTGATGAATTTAAGAAGCATTCAGATGTGAATTTGTGATGCTAAGGCATTGACGTCTATTGGCTAAGCGATGGAAATACAATTTGGATACTTAAGTGATTGTATTGGATTGGTGCACACGTAAAGACCTTAAGGGGCATTTGGGCTCCAGGTCCTTGGTAGTGTAGTGGTTAGTATCTCTGAGTGTCACGCGGGAGACCGGAGATCACCTCCCTGCGGGGGAGGATCTAACCATGTTTGGGGCCATTCAGCGAAAGGGACCCAGCTTTGATTTCAGCTTTTGGTGATGTCTGTGTGGAGTTTGCATGTTCTCGCCATGTCTGCGTCAGAGTGCTCCAATTTCTACCCCCAGTCTAAACATATGCATGTTAGGCGAATCGGTTATGGGAAATTGCTCCGTTGTGTGCAGGGATGTGCAGGCCGGGTAGTTAAGCCATGGTAAATGCGGATTCATGTGGATTGGCGGGTGTCACTATTTTATACTTGGCTCTGGATGAGAATGGTCACTGCTTCATATTCGGTTCTGGGGTATAATGTTCACTCTTTCATGTTGGGCCCTGTGAGATAATGTTCACTGTTTTTATATCGGACTCTGTGGGAGAATGTTCACTGGTTTATATTGGGCTGTGGAGGAGTGTGGTCACCGTCTGAAATCGGGCACGGGAGCCGAATGTTCACTGTTGTATATCGGGCTCTGTAGAAGATTAGTCACAGGTTTATATCGATGCCCATTCTACACCTCCTATACCTTTGCGAGTGTGATGCAACAAATACCTATAGCCATTCAATCAAAACAAAAATGAATGGCAAGCTGAATGTATATTTTGTGATTCGGTGGTCAACAAATGCTATGTGTCTGTGAGAATGTATATCCCGATAACGAACTGCAAGACATCTCTGGAATTTAGATTTTCACGTTGGAATCTGATTCGGTCCCTTGTTCAAAACAGAATAACTTTCCGGTGTAAGTGAAACATGATCAGCACCGGACTGCAGGGAAAATGCACAAAGTCGAGCGAGCCGCGTACAAGGTGATGCCATGCAACATACTTACAGTTACCAAACCTGTGCTGCAAAATAAGCAGTCCGAAAACAAATCCTTTGTTTCGAAAGATAAGCAGATTTAGAATCCAAAAACGGCAGATCTCATTGCGAAATTGTTCTAAAGGCAGTGCAGGTACGAGCTACTTTACCATAATTCCTTTCACTTTCCTTGTCTTTCTGCTTAGCCTGCCGTTTTCCGGCGAAGATTTCCACTTTTGGGCAAGAGCAAATACCAGAGGTCACATGACACCATGTTATACGAGCGATTGTCCCAAAAATGATTTTTTTTCCGATGTTGCTACGGGAACACAACAAAAGCAAAGGCACAGGGAAAGTCTTCAAGGATCCCTGTCCTGCTCGTCCATTTCTTAGCCGCTCGACTATGTCCGGCTACAATATTAATTTCCCACCAGATGCCAATACCCCTTAATTCAAAACAAAAATCAATGGAAAGCTGAACACATTTTGCGAGACTCGGCTGACTGACAAATGTACTGTGCCTGTGAGAAACTATAAACGAGTCTGCTTCGATAAAGAAAACATGAACTGCACGACATTTCTGGAATTTAGATGCTTGCTTTCGGAAATAAGGGCGGATAAAAATTTGACAAGATTGCACTGCAGTTAATTGGAATTGTATTCTGTTTCGCCACAACAGCAGAGGTGGCCGAATAAATTCAAAACGAGGATGACTGACGAGAAGAGTACGCAGCAACTCCCCGTCTATATCAACGCAGAGGCCTGTGGTTCATAAAGAAGAAATAATTGCGGTTACTTCTACCCCGTTCCGAACCGGGGACTGTTCACGTGTAAGGTGAACGTGATAATCACGACACTACAGAATCACCAGATGCCTACGTTGTTCCCACAGACCTTTGTACAGCACTGAAATTTGCAGACATTCACGTTTTACTTTTCATTTTGAAACAGATTGATGTAGTCCAGCCTTGTTGGCATTATTGAGAAATAAAGAAAATCACGTAAAATTGTTCAGAAACTATTCACAAGTTTGTTGCCAGAGTTACGCAGTTTGGACTGCAGGCCGAAGCTGAATAGGCTGGGCCAAATTTCCCTGCAGCCTCGGAGGCTGAGGAATGGACTTAGAGAAGTTTATAAAGTCATGAGGGATATGGACAGGGTGAATGGTCGAGGGCATATATTTAAGGTGAGAGGGGAAAAATTAAATAGGAGTCGAGGGGCATTTTTCACGCAGAAGGTGGTGCGTATATGGAATGAACTGCCAGAGGAAGTTGTGGAGGCTGGTGGAACTACAACATTTCAAAGGCATCTGGATGCATGCATGAATCGGAAGGGTGCAGAGGAAAAAGGGCCAAATCTTGGCAAATGGGGTTAGATGAATTTAGGATAACTGGATGGCATCGACAAGGTGCACCGAAGTGTCTGTTTCCATGCT